GAGGGGACACACCACGCCTCGGAGAGTGTCCCCCACCCTGTCCTGTCCCCAGCAGCACTGGCACGCTGGCACACACAGCAGGCACTCTGCCCACGGCTCAGCAGCAGCTCCGGGCACTGAACGTGCCAGGCTGCCTGGGGACACCTGGCACTGCTGGCACCGCCTGGTGAAGGAGCTGTGGGACCAGGGGCGAGCTGTGGGCAGCAGTTCTGAGAACTCAGGATACAGGCACTGAAGTGAAAGAAAAAAAGCCTGAGATGGTATTTTGCAGCTTTATTAAACTTAGCTTAAACTCTCCTAAAGTTCTCTGGTATTAATAAATATAATTACAATGCACTGTATCCCAAATCCCAAAGCAGGAGATTTTGTTAAATAACGGGCTCCAACCCATGGCAGTGCATGTGAATTTTGAAAAGAAGTAAGTGGAAAAAATTACTTTCATATTTATACTTCAAAAAATTATTAGTATCAAAACCCAGCCTATGGTTACATCGTGGGATGGAAAACAAGGAAATGGTCATTCCGTTGTTTTTCCAAGGCTTTTCTTTGCCAAGCAAACTCCTGCAGATGTGGCAGGCAGTTCTCATTTTGGATGATTTGCATGTGTGGATGGTGCTTGGGGATTCTCAGTGAGAGGGAGGGAAGGATAAGATTGCAAAAACTCTCTAAAGGAAAAAAAGATGAACAGCAGCATGAGAGTAAGCAAGAGATGAACAGAAATGGAACAATTCTGTTTGTTTAGAAATAAAAGTTTGACACAGACTCTCTGTGCTTCACTCACCATTCTGGCACAACATTTCCATTTTCATTTGGTGCTTTTCCCTTGCTGACCCTCCCTCGGGTTTGTGTCCCCACTGCTGGGCCGTGCCAGCGCACCCCAGGCTGTGTTTCAGGGCTCAGCACCCGCACAGGGACACGGCGGCATGTGGCAGGACACCCGGAGCTTCTGGAAGGGTGCTGCTCTGCCAGGGGCCAGGCCAGCAGCCTCTTCCCTAATCCCTGGGCACAAGATCCAGCCAGGCAGGGAGATCCAGGGGCAGGGAGAGACCCGGGTCGCCCGCTGAGCTCCAGCCTTGCGCGTGGTGACAAAGTCGTCTCCGTATGGTCAGACACTCCCTCCGCACGCTCTGCACTTTGGCTCTCCTCCCTGGCACGTACAAATGTTCCAGATAGCTGAACAGATTCCATGACACAAGACAGCTGCTTTTGTAGGGAGGAATTAATTTAATCAAGTACTCCATCATTAAAATTATCTGACGCGTCAGATGGAAAAGCACGGAAGCAAGCTTGCTCAAAGATGAAAACTCAACACTTTTTCAGCCAAAAGTGTCCCAGAAGATAAGGAAATGTTCATATAACTCACTCAGGTCTCTATATAATATTTTAGCGATGTAAATAATATATCGTCCAAAGAGAATTCGTGAGGGAATGATCTCTTGCCAAAGCCTGGCTGGCTTGGTAAATTGATTTCCTCCATGGAGCACAAGAATCTCAGGGTGGTTTGGGTTGTAAGGGACCTTAAAGCTCATCCAGGTCCACACCCTACCATGGGCAGGGACACCTTCCGCTGTGCCACTGAAGGAAACACTGAAGTTGCAGTGCCCTGTCCCCCTGGGGTGCTTGGTGCTGTTCTGGAAGTCTCCACCCAGTCAGATGGGAATGAAAACGGGAACTTTGAGAGAGTTTGGGGTCGTGTTCTGCAGGACAACCCCACAGCTTTAGAGGCAGAAAGCTGGGAAATACTGTGCAATTGTGTGCTGGATGCTTAAAAATCTGAAGATGAAGAGGCTGAAGTTTGCATTTCTGTTTTGGAGGGTTTCTGGATTTGTAAGCTGACCTTGGTGTCCCGGGTGAGGGCGGTGAGGATGGTGTTCGACGGCGGTTTGCACGATGTGTGACTGAGGGCAGCTGTCCCCACACCAGGGCTGCTTACACAACCAGGGGCTGGAATAGCTGCTGCTGTTTGGGTTTGCTGTGGCAGCGCCTCTGGTGAACCTGCTGGCAGCCCGTGCCCTGGCACAGGAGCGTGCCCGAGCGCCGCCGTCGTCACCGGGAGCGGGAACAGCAGCGGGCACCCTGATTTGCATAGAGGTCATGTTTTGCTAATATGTGTCTTGTAGAAGCAGACAGCATGTAAAAGAGGATGGTTAAAACCTGACCCAGCGATGTTTTTAAATTTCAAATTATGCATAACGTATGCATTAAATTAATTAGGGAATTCATTAAGAAGGGAAGAGTAAAGAAACTAGTGAGCACTGTGCAGCATTAGTAATGTAAGCCATTTTCTATAATTGTTATATAGAATTTGTCTCATAACATTATCCTTTGATAGATTATTGAAGTATAATATGATATATGTAGCTTATTAACAGTTTCATTAATTACTATTAGAGCAAAGACACTGAAATCTGGCAGACACAGAACAAGTGCTGAAGCAGATGGTTGAAATTAGTGAAATGCAATTGGTTGCTGAACCCTTTTACCTAATTACATTATTACATCAAAACAGTTAAACCAAATTTGTCAAGTTGTCTGCTGAGCGCTGGGATGTTTGTAGCGGGGATGGGCCCTGGGCCCAGCTCCCCGCGGGGTGCAGGGACCCCCTGGGCACCATCCCCTGGCTCTGGGGCAGGAACTCCTGTGAACCTCGAGCTCGTCTCCCTCAGCTGCACCCCGGGTTAGCCTCGTATTCCTTTTCCTCCTGTTTCCCCCTCAGCCTCGCTGGCCCTGGCCACGTGTCCCCAGGGCCGTGCAGGGAAGGAAGGCACCAGCACCTTGACTGGTGGTTCTTTATCGGGAGCCTTGCCACAGCTTCACTGGAGCTGGTTCTGTCAGGGAGCATCGCCCTTCACCCCTCCACTGGGAATGTTTTACTTGGATCGGCCAGGCTGACGGAGAGCATCCGTGCCCCAGCACCATTCCACAGCAGAAGCAGCAGGAGGCTCCTTCCTCATCCCCGCTGGCTTTTGGAGCAGGCTGCACTCGAGCTGTGGTACCCCGGGCAGGGCTGGGCTGCACACCCCTTCCTTCTCCCACGGGGCTGGAACGCACCAGCCTGGCTTCCCTAGGGCCCTGGAGGAGTCCGGGGAGCACCTCGGTCTGGGGTGCAGGGGTCCCTGCGCACCTTGCAAGGGAAAGCTTCAGGGGTGCTCCCTGCGTGGGGCAGCAAAGCCGGGCTGCCACTGCGGGCGCTGCCTTCGCCCATCACTCACTGGCACCGGGCCTTGGCGCTCCAGGCTGGCCGGGGGCATCCCTGGAGGGTTCCCAAACCCCGCCGTGCTGGGGGTGGCCTTGCATGAGCCGAAGGAGAGAGAAAATGTGGAGCCATAAATACAAAGCACGAAAAGTCCGTAAGCGCTGCATTTCTGCCTGAGCATCAGCAGTGTGTGGGAGCGGCGGGGGAGCCTGTGGGCTGAGTCACTGAACACGATTTCACGTGTTTGGGCTTCTTTTAATTATCCACACTGGCGGTTTTCAGGAGATCTCG